GCTGTAATGCTGATAGTACTGAGTGTAAAAAAATCACTGGTGAAAGGAGAAGTGGTAGTGGTGGGGGGAAGAACAATACTGGTGGAAGGAAGAGCAATACTGGTGGGGGAAAGAGCAATACTGGTGGAGGGAAGAGCAATACTGGTGGAGGGAAAAGCAATATTAGTGGAGGGAAGAGCAATACTGGTGGGGGAAAGAGCAATACTGGTGGAGGGAAGAGCAATACTGGTGGAGGGAAGAGCAATACTGGTGGAGGGAAGAGCAATACTGGTGGAGGGAAAAGCAATACTGGTGGAGGGAAAAGCAATACTGGTGGAGGGAAAAGCAATACTGGTGGAGGGAAAAGCAATACTGGTGGAGGGAAAAACAATACTTGTGGAGGGAAGAGCAATACTGGTGGAGGGAAGAGCAATACTGGTGGAGGGAAGAATGGTAGTGGTGGGAGGAAGAGTGGTATCAACAGTGGAGGGATCAATGGCAGTTGGGCAATCAACAATGATGTCAGTAAAGGTAGTTGTGACAGTGATACATGGACATGTACATGCTTGAGGTTGAACTGGATGAATGACTAATAAGTAGATATGTAGGCAATAATATAAATAATTTTAACTTCTGACAAATCTAAGCTAATATTATATATAAAATACCAGGAGTTATTGGCTACATCATTTCTATACATGCCTTTAAAACATACATTTGAATAAAAAATACAAAGTGCAAAACTAAACTATGTGCACGACTAATAAAACATATTATACTAACTTGTGATTGACAATATTGTCAATACAACAGCAGCAAGCCTCATCATCTTGAAAACAGGGTGTGTTTAACCTTAAAAGGATATAATCTTTAAGGTGGAGCTGTTTATACCAACAATCAAGATACATGTATTCATGATATAATTTAATTCACTATCAGCCTATGATTGTTATATCAATCATGAATTTTAGGCTATAAAAATTATATTTTAACATGTAGCAATAAGCAAATTGCAAACAACAAAAATAAATAATATTATCAATATAATGCATCAATGAAATAAAATGAACTACAGTAGTCTACACATTAAGTACAAAAAAGAGATGCTCTCCTCTCTTTCCCCACCACAAATCATCAACAATCTTTCAATAATGAAGATTGGCATGAACCTTCTAAATTAGTGCAGTATACATCATTAAGATCATGTGGACTTTAGAAGCTTATTTTCCGAACACTTTGGTATAATTCTTATTCACCAAGCTTAAAAAGTCAAAATTAACAGTTTCCCTAAATGAATAGTGTCAAACCACAATATGATTGAGTCAACAAGAAAGGTGAAATTCATTTCTAATTACTCAATGCAAATTTTCTAAAAAAGCTGGATCATAGATACTGTTATTTATTGTTCAAAAAATCAAAAATTATGCAAGCAGAAAAATACAATTATGTCTAGCACTATAAAAGTAACTGCAAATAGGAAATAAAGAATTTAGTAATGGCATTCTATGTAGTTTTGGCTTAGCATTAAAAGCTACATCTATTCCACTACAAATTTAGCAACCAAATGTAGACTTTGCTACAGTTAGTATATTGTAATTATCAGCATCAGTAGTAACAGGAATAGTAACTGTAGAGCTACCTACACCAGGAGCTGATACCTCTACTACTATACCATCTAAATTAGGACCCACTGTATTCGAATCAAATATGCGTGTACACTTTCCTCCATCTCTATCTATTTCTATCATACGGTCCCTGTATTTAGAAGTATGATCTTCAGTGACCTGGACAATAACTCTAGCTAATCCATGATAAGCACTCCTCCAGTGAGCTTGGTTGGATTCATGACACGATGGATCACCATTACCCACTCCAATT